TAGTTCATCTGTAATGCTTTTAATTTAATTTTAGTTCAGTTAAATCTGTGATTGGCTTTATTTCATCCGGTATAGAATTCTTGAACAATGTGGATCTATATAAGGAAACTCCTTTTTTATTATAATTTCTGTAATGCTGTAATGCCGGGGTCATTTACACTTGAAAACATATTGCTATCTATAAGAGGAAATTTTTTTTAAAAAAAATCTCTTTTCTCGATAATTCTATTTTTACTGGTCTTACTATATATTTACTTGAAATAATATATGCCTAACGCATTCTATTAATAAAATGACATCTAAGCTGTTAAACCTTATTTAATTTGAAATTATCATAAACATTAATAAAGCCATATAAAAATTGTTATTTTCTTTCAATAATGAAAAAAAGTTTAGTCGCTTGCTAATTGAACAATACTTTCATATTGAACAAATATTTTTGAAAATACATTTAAGTGGGTGTTCTGGTCTAGAGGCATGAATTTTATGAGTTTTATTGAATGGCCATAAAAAGGGCAAACAATATTTTTACTACATTTTTTACAATTTATAGTAATGTTGCGAGAATTTGGAAAAGAAATAAAAATTAACAATGATCGTAAAGTTTTACTTCTAGAAAGTGATGAAGTGTGGGGGGTCTCAAAATCTGAAGAAATATATATAATATTTAATTTTAAGAAATATATTTATTAATATATTAATATATATTTAATCTAGAATAATGTTACAATCGTTTGAACTAAAAAAAAATTACAACTTTTTTTATGTTCTCGAATTTTTTAAAAATAGTTAAAATCGGAATTTGAGGATGAGCGTAGTTCATACAGATGAGATTTCTATAAAAAAGACTCTGTAAAAATTTCAAGTAAATCGATCTAGTAGAAGTTGAGAAATCGTGGGTATCATCTCGAATAAAAACAATTTCGAGGTAAACTAGTTTAAAGTTTTGCAGAGGAAGGAAACAGAACAAAAGATTATATCTTGGTCAAACAGCCTTATCTTCGAAAATAATTTGAATTTTAAAAAATCCTCTTGTAAACACATTCTTAAAGAGTTAAACTTTGAAAGTATAAAAAAAAGAAAAACGATTTTTTGAAAATTCTAGACCCTTAAGAAAAATATTTTAATGAAAATAAATAAATATATTTACCCGCTGACTTTGTTCATTATATCTTTGTAGTAGTCTCTGTCTTTGTCGATCCTGAAATTAGTAAAATGAAAAAAATAATATAAAATCAAATATTGTAAATATTTTTGAAGTAAAACTTCTTTAGGCGCGATATGGGTGTAAAAGTTTCTTTAGGCTACACGGGTATAAATCCGTACAAATGCAACGAAAACGCCAACGTGAAGTTGAACACTACGACGCCGTAAGCGCTGATGTCGCGAGTATCCACTCCCGTCATGTCATGCGTAAGTCGAGCGCTAAACCCTATATGAACTTGCATTAATTGAATCACGTTTTTTATGTTATGTCCTCATGGAATAAGACTTTTCTTAGAGAATAAATGTGTCATGGAATATAATAAATTTATATTGAATTGAAAGTCTCGTTGAAGACAAAATAATATCTACTGCCACGGATATTTATGTAGGTTGCCATGCGACAGATCAACAATCATACATTCGTCAGCAGTTTCACAAAAATCGGTTATTGATACCGGGGGTTTGCCGTATGAAATAATTTTAGTTCTGAATAAATTTTACATTATAACAACTAATATTGATGTAAGTGATGGCTTAGCTAATGGTTGTGTAGGAAAATTAGTGTACATAGAACGTGGCGATAATGATGAACTTCTACGTTTACGGTTTGAATTTCCTGGTAAGATAGGTAACAAAATAAGAAGAAAGCTGCACATTATATTCAAACTCTTAATATCAGTAGGACAGCTGTGCCGATTCTCAGGAGATCTTCATCTATTCCAATGAATAGAAATAAAATCATATTTGTCAAAAGAAATCATTTTCCTTTAGTGTCTGCTTGTGCACTCACAATACACAAATCACAAGGTGGTACTTTTGATAAAATTGTATATGAATACAATAAAACACATAATCAGCAGCTTCTATATGTTGCATTATCACGAGTTACCAGCATTAATGGATTGTTCATCATTTCTAAAAACAACGACAAAAAATTTTATCATGGAAGAAAACGGCCAGCAGGATTAATGAACTTAAAAACTGAATTCCAAAGACTTTCAACTTGAAGATTAATAACACAAGAAGAAAAATTGAGTGAGATAATAAGTTTGAACGACATTTCATTGTTTTCCTTTAACTGCCCAAGTTTACGAGCTCATTGGCCTGATCTGCAAGATAAAGTGCTACAACGTTGTACGTTTTTGTTATTTTCGGAAACTTGGATTAATAATGAAGAACGAATTGATATTCAGAACTATTACTGCGTTACTCAATACAAACGATCGGACTCAAGAGCAGGTGGTGTAGCTGTCTATCATTCATGTTCAGATACTCTTCATAATGCGACTCCTATGCAGTTTCTTGCGCCAACGATATTACTGGATATTTCTAATGAAATTACACAAGTAGGTGATATTACACACACAGAATCAAACATTAATTATAGTCGTCCTTTACATTTCTCCCAATAAAAACATATCAAATATTATTAAATTTCTTCATCAGCAGTTACTTCATTTTTCTTATGAGGGTGCAAAACTTTTAAACACTAATCATAACGAGATACCATTAATTCTTGCTGGAGATTTCAATGTCAATTTTCGTTCAGAAGAATCTCAACCATTAATTGATTTTTTAAATAATAAATTTAATTTAACAATGAATAATTCTCCATTTGAACCAACCACAAGATATGGCACGACTATTGATGCAGTTTTCTCCAGAAATGTACATAGTTTACAAAGCAAAATTTATGTCTCTCATTTTAGTTATTACAAACCTATTATATTATATATGAAATATGATAGCAATTAATCTATCGATGTTGTTTTAAACTGTGTTATTGATGTTATGTGATTATTAATAAATGATTTTTAAAATTCAAATATGATGTTTTTTTTATTTTTATCTTAATTGCCTACTCATACAATATTAAAAGTTTTACTTCAATCGCGTGTGATCCTTACGCGCACTCTTTTTTTTTTCTTATTTTTCTCTATTTTATTTACAACTGTCCAGTTAAAGACATTTAATAAATTTGGGGAATTTGCAATTGTCATCCCTAAAGAGACATTGTATATTAAATGGACATGCTAGAAAAACAACTCAAAAGTTGTTTTCCCATTCGTTTAATATTGTAAAAATGAACATATTTTTTAAATTTATTAATATATTATTTATGTTTATGTGAATATATGTTAAATCTACTTGGCTTTAATAATAAAAATTTAATATAAATTTATAAATTACCATATCGGAACAACTCTAGCACCACCTCCTTCGACAAATTTAACATAGGACGCCGCAATGTAGCTCTTGAACTGGTCAGGATATTGCTGGTTCAGGCTATAAGCAATTTCCTGGGTCAGGATGCCCACGACGGGGGTCTCATTGACCTCTTCAACAATAGGTACCGCGGCGAAGGCACAAGAGGCCAGAAATATTGAAAAAGTATACAGTAGCAACATTGTGATATGAATCCAGAACTCGAACTAAGAGTTTATCGGCGATTGCGTGTTGTATTTAAAGGCGACCGTGAGCTCTCGAATTTTGAATGTGTAGTTGTGTGTATGTATATGATATGTTGGTGCAGACGAACGTTTATTTAAATTAATTTGTATACGTGCTTCAGAAATTCTTATGATGAATGGCTTGAAAAGCCTGTAAGGAATAGTTTAAATTAATTATAATGATTTATGTTTAAAATTTATATCTAACTGTGGTGTATGGCATTGTGCCTTAAGGCAAATTGCTGAAACTTCCCGTACCAAAAATTAAATTTGTAAGAAAAGATTAAATATGTTTCAAACTTTGAAAAAATTAAATTTTTGAAAAATTTTAAATTTTTGAAAAATATTTACTTTTTTGGAAAAAAAACTTTTGGAGAAAATTTTTTTTAGTTTGAAATATTTTGGAACATTTGAAATTTTTTCAAAGTAATCGCACTGCTTTAGCTGCATAGAGACGCAACATCAAAGCGCGTAAGCGCCGCGTCGCCGTCTAACGGACGAATGATGGTTACGAAACCCATAGAAATGTTAACAAAATTGTTACACATTATTAAAATTTCCATAAATTATCTGATAATTTGATGTGCATATGTCTAATGACCATTTTTGACCTCAAAATGGCATTTTTTTACTAGATCTCCGAAACCGCTAGAAAATTTAATCAATTCTTAGTCAATACAAGTACAATGTTTTTTAAATTATTAAAATCGCTCCATTCTCTTAAAAAGTACGTTACCGTTTTTGGCACTTTTTGCCCCGTATCATCGAAATACGGGGAAAACCTGCTAGACCTGCCTGTGTCAAAAACTAATCAGCACGTCTCTTTATTAATAAAAATCGAATATTTTTTTAATAACTGAAATCGGTTGAACCGTATTCTCGAAATCGTCAACGAAAACTTGTATCCGCCCGGACACCCACACATACACAAACACGAACATACACACACACATACATCAATTTTTTCTAAGATATTCCAAACTGTTCAGAAACCTCTGAAACGTAAAGATATATAAAAAATTTCATTTTCGATTTTTTTACGATTGCTATAACTTGCCCTAAGAAAAGTTAATACAACTTAATTATAAAATAATATAATAATATTAATAATATAAAATATATAAGCATTTATGAAATGGAATCTACTCATAAGATCTGACAAATATTTATCTATAAAATAAAATATTTGTGATATCCATACGAAATATAGGTACGCATATTAATAATTCAAATTTAACAGTTTTACCACGTTTTTCGCGAATACCAAAATTCGGGCTGCCAACAAGGCAAATCTATAAAAGTCAAAATGCCGATCCAGAATGCATTATATCAGGTACATATTATTTACGTTGAATGTTTGTTTGTTTAGCTATATAAATCAAATAAAAACTTTAAATGATATTTATCTAATTGATTTTAAATTTATCTAATTATGTTAACAGTGTATTGTAAGGTTATGATGACTGAAATGTCATTTTGCGTGTGAATGAAATTCGAGTTCAGTAGAAAAGCATTTGTAAATATGGTAAGATATTTTTATCAATATATTTTTTTCTGTTTTTTTGAATCATTGTTGTTTTACAGAATGCGGTAGAACCTATGCAAATCGACGCCCCTCCCGAAGATAACGAGAATAATGAAGAAGAAACATACATTGTGGAAAATCCAACATTGGATTTGGATGCTTATGCTAGCAGCTACACAGGCTTAGCAAGGCTACATCGGCTCATTTACATAGCAGATCACTGCCCTTCATTAAGACAAGAGGCTCTGAAAATGGCTTTGATGTATGTCATGACAACCTATAACATTAACTTATACCAACACTTGCATAAGAAATTGGCAGAGACAGCGGGTCCCAATCTACCAGATTTAGCAGCTCAATCAGCATCCCAAGATATTCCAATCCTAGATATTCAGTGGGTTGAAACAAAAGGTAAAAAAGCAGCGTTGAAATTAGAAAAACTCGATACTGACCTTAAGAACTACAAATCTAATTCAATAAAAGAGAGCATTCGTAGAGGCCACGACGATTTGGGGGATCACTACATGGACTGTGGTGATCTATCAAATGCTCTAAAATGCTATTCGAGGGCACGTGATTATTGTACTAGTGGAAAGCATGTTCTTAATATGTGTCTAAATGTTATTAAAGTATCTGTTTATCTTCAAAATTGGTCCCATGTTTTAAGTTATGTTTCAAAAGCTGAAAGTACTCCAGATTTTGCTGAAGTTTTGGGTAAGGATTTAAATCAAATGATCACAACACGACTTAAATGCGCTGCTGGGCTTGCTGAATTAGCTACAAGAAAATATAAATCTGCTGCTAAACATTTTCTTGCTGCTAGTATAGATCATTGTGATTATACCGAATTGTTGTCTCCAAGCAATGTGGCAATATATGGTGGGCTGTGTGCACTTGCTACCTTTGACAGGAAAGAGTTACTAAAAAATGTCATATTTAGTAGTTCATTCAAGCTATTTCTGGAAACTGAACCACAACTAAGAGATATCATTATTAAATTTTATGATTCTAAGTATGCCTGTTGTTTAAAGCTGATGGATGAAATTCGAGACAATTTGTTATTAGATATGTATCTTGCCCCTCATGTGAACGCACTGTATACTCAAATTAGGAATAGAGCATTAATTCAATATTTTAGCCCTTACAAATCTGCAGACATGCATAAAATGGCACAAGCTTTTAATAGATCTGTAAGTGCTCTTGAAGATGAATTGATGCAACTCATTTTGGATGGACAAATTCAAGCCAGGATTGATTCCCATAATAAAATATTATATGCCAAAGATGCTGATCAGAGAAGTGCAACATTTGAACGAAGTTTAGCAATGGGACGTGAATATCAAAGAAGAACGAAAATGCTTATTCTTAGAGCAGCCATGATCAAAAATCAAATACATGTTAAAGTTAGTTCAACGGCTCCTGCTAGTTCTCTGGAACAATTATAGTCATTACATGAAATTTTGAATAGTTTATTGTAACATTTTATGAATTATTTCTTTGAGCATAACACCGCAAAACTAAATTGTACAAAAGCTTTTATTTTATTTTTCTATCCATAAATTTATCATTTTCTTAAAATTTATTAATTATTGAAATATAAGAATTTGTATCATACGTATTCCTAATAAATTATTAAACATAAAAGCATATTTTACTAACAATAAGTTCATTTATTACTAACACAAATTTTTCAGATTTGCTGTTTCCACTTGCAAATGCAAAACGTTATACTTAAAATTGAATAATAGGAGTTATTTTTGTTTGAGAAATTTGTGTTATTATTATTCATAATATGTGTTATTATTGTTCATATTATTCATAATATGAATATATTATTCATCACATGAGATGATAGGAAACAGATAAAAACGGTGTGTATGGCATCGCGCCTCAAGGCAAATTGCTGGAACTTCCCGTACCGTAACGAAATGTTCGAGGAATATTAAATGTTTTCAAATTGATTATTATAAATACTGTAACAATGTCGAAAATTTATAAGAAATATATAAACTGAATTGCAAAGTTGAAAATATTTGTTTAAAGTATATTAGCATTTAAGTCAGAATTACAATTAAAATCTGAATTATTTTCGATATACAAAAAAAGACATTGTTTGAAAGAAAAAAAAATTTGAAACAAAAAAAATTTTTTACCAAAAGCAATTATTTTGTTAAAACAAGCAGAAAGTTTTTTGGATCATTCAAATCGGACGCTTAGTTCTCTCAAAAACTGCCTTTACTTGCACATTTAGCTCTGTAACTCCGAAACCACTGGACCTGCCTTTGCCAAAAACTAATCACCACTTCTCCCCGTTATTACGAATTGAATATTTTTTGGATCATTCAAATTTGATGCTCCGTTCTTTCAAAAACTCGATTTCTATTTTCTGCATTCTTTGCTCCGTATTTCCGAAACGGCTGAACCGTTTTTGCCAAAAACTAATCAGCACATCTCCCTATCAATAGGAATCGAATGTTTATTGAACCATTCAAATCGGTTGATCCGTGCGCCCGAAAACGTGGACGGTAAATTGTTTCCTTGCATTTAAAAAAAGGAAAAACGGTTGGCAGCAAAGTTAATGAAACAACTTCATTTCAAACTTCATTTTCATGTGTTTACAACACTGTAACTGCACAATTGCACATGACAGTAATTCATTTTTTAAAAACACTCAAATTTATTATGAAGTAATAAAAATAATGTGAATATATGAATTACATTATATTGACATTGGTGATTGCTTTTAATGTGAAGAAAATGACTTGAAATAGTTTACTGAACAATACACTAACATCCTACGGCAATCGTTCGTTTAACATAGGATATAAAGCCTTATCTAACCTTACTTTATTCATGTTTTTATTTACATAATGTATTCAATTAAAAACAAACAAACTGCATTAATAAATACATCAGTAGTAAACAATATTTACATATATTTGAACAAAAATCTATTTGGAATCAATTTCAGTCGTGCATTAAAAACTTCCTCTTATGTATTCGAAAAGGGTAATAACTGAATAAAGTGTGCTATATTATTTACTTTATAGTAATTCATTATACTCAACAGAATTGTCTAGTGGTTATAAACCAAAAGAAGTAGAATGTAGTACTTATTCGAAGACACCAGGAATATTTCCAAAAAATACCAATGGAAAAATATATAGTATGGTATTACCTCCGCCAAATATTACTGGACAATTACATCTGGGCCATGCAATTAATATCACAATTCAAGATGTGTTAGCTAGATGGTAATTATAAAAACCAAGCCTATATAAACCAAAAAAATATTTAAATTAAATTGGTGATTGGTTCATTTTGTATTGTGTTAAAATTGACTTTGTGCCAAGTTCTTATATGCATGTCATATTTGGATCAGATTTATTTATATAATTATTTTTCAATGTTTTCGATATATTATTTTATTTAGGTATAAATTAAGAGGATTTGAAGTTATGTGGGTACCTGGTTTTGATCATGCTGGAATAGCTACACAAGTGATTGTTGAAAAGCAGTTGTTAAAACAAATAAATAAGACTCGATCTGATATTGGAAGGGAAGATTTTATCAAACACGTGTGGAAGTAGGTGTGAGACTAACAAAATATATCAAGTTTAGGTAGTCAAATTATTAGATTTGCATGAGAGAACATACTTAAAATTATCAAGGAGTTTTAATATTAATAACGTTATTATTTTTATTTAAAATTATATCTTTTATCTTAAATTTTTTCATATCATTTCAATCACCATTTTGCTTGATGCTTAAGATTTATTCAAACAAGCTAAATATCTTTTTACTAATTACAATTTTTTTCGATATTTTCAATATTTGTTTAAATTTTAGTTGGAAACAAGAAACAAGTTCATCCATTAAAAAACAATTACAAGGCATGGGAACCTTATTAAATTGGGAAAAAGAAGTTTTCACTCTTGACTCTGTATGATTGTATATCATATAAAATGCATATATATTTTATAAATTTTTATATCAATAATATGATTCAATTTAGGATATGGTAGAAGCAGTTAACGAAGCTTTCATACGATTATTTGATGAAGGATTAATTTATCGAGACAATGCTCTTGTAAACTGGTGCTGTCACCTTCAAAGTGCCATATCTGATATAGAAGTTCAGTCTAAAGAAATAAAAGAGCCCACTTTTATAAGAGTACCTGGGTATGATAAACCAGTGCAGTTTGGAATACTTACAGAGTTTGCATATAAACTATGTGATAGAGGTAGGATTAAATACTGTACTACCATGCTACTATACCACCTTTATTTTAATAAACATCCACAAATGTTAAATAAAGTATTAGCTTTCAAAAAATTTATTTCCACATTAAATTCTATGATGTATTTAATTTATTTTTAAATAAGATGAATGCTAATTGTTTGATTGTTAAGTTTTTCTTATATATTTATTTCTATTGATCAATAAATTTTTTTAAATATTTTTTTAAGATGAAGAAATCATTGTTTCAACCACTAGACCTGAAACAATTCATGGTGATGTTGCAATAGCTGTTTCACCTAAAGACCCAAGGTATGCACATCTTAATGATGTTCAAGCCAAACATCCATTTCTAGATAAAACAATACCAATAATATTTGATGAAACTGTTGACTCTGATTTTGGAACAGGTATGTTGTTACTTCTAAAATACTCATACTGATCAAAAGTCCTAAATGAATTATCTTTATGATTATTTACTATGTATTGTCTATACCAATTTAATAAACTTCTTATATAAACAAAAGGCATGCTGAAGATTTTTTCCAGTTTTCTCAAATAAAAAAGTGGTGCAGATTTTTATTTTATCAAGATTCAATTTCAGACTTGATATAAAATTGATGAATGTATCATTTTCTATTCCAAATAATTGAACAATTGAACAATTTATTATTATTTAATAGGTGCAGTAAAAATAACACCGGCTCATGATGCCAAGGACTTTGAAATATCAAAGAGGCATAAACTTCCCATGATATCTATTTTCGATGAAAGAGGATATATGAATAGTAATTGTGGCAAGTTTGCAAAAATGCATAGATATGATGCACGAAATGCAATTATGAATGAATTAAAGGATCTCAATTTGTTTAGAAAAATTACAAATCATTCAATGGTTATACCTACATGCAGTCGAACAGGAGATGTAATTGAATTATTATCAAGGCCGCAATGGTTTGTTAATTGCCAAGACTTAGCGAAATCAGCAGTAGAAGATGTTAAAAATGGTGTTTTGGAAATAGAGCCAAAGCATTTTGAGCAGAATTGGTTTAACTGGTTAAATGGAATAAGGTACTTAAATTATTACTATATAAATCTGTTATAGTTAAAATAATTACTTTATTTTTACCATTTGAAATTACTTTGGTGTATGAGATTAATTGTAGTAATTAAAATTCTACCCATTTTGTTTTCACTTTGAAATTACTGAACTTTAGTGTGCTTAATTTATGTTCTAATTTTTTATATAATTGCTATAAATATATTCAATTAATTCCGTTTCTGATAGATCTTTTTAAATAATAGAGATTGGTGCATATCCCGTCAATTGTGGTGGGGTCATCAAATTCCTGTGTATGAATGTTATGATAAAAATAATTCTGGTAAGAAAATATTTGTAGCAGCTCGAAATGCAAGTGAAGCTGAAAATAAAGCAACTTCTAAATTAAATATATCTAAAGACTGCTTAGTTGTTACACAAGATCAAGATGTATTGGACACATGGTTTTCATCAGCTTTATTTCCATTTGCTGTTCATGGATGGCCAAAAAAAGTATACAAATAAAAAGATTTTATTTCTCTTAGAAATTTTTTGATAATCATATTTTGCCAGTGGTAGAAATTATTCTACTACTTATGACTCTTCTGTATAAAATGTTTATTATTTTACAGAGTCAGCAGTTAGAAAACTATTACCCTTTGAATCTTCTAGAAACAGGTCATGATATATTATTCTTTTGGGTAGCTAGAATGGTCATGCTTGGAAAAAAACTGACTGGCGTATTGCCTTTTCAAAAAGTTTTACTACATGGTATTATTTGTGATGTGCATGGCAGAAAAATGTCTAAAAGTCTTGGAAACACTATTGAACCTGATGATGTTATAAATGGAAAATCATTAGAAGTACATCAGATTTTTTTTAAAAAATAATAATTAATATTCTGCAAGAATTTTGTGTCATATATGACTCACATATTTTTCCCATTTTGTTGTAGGAATTAAAACAAAGATTGCAAAAATTTCACAATCAAGGATTATTTAGTGATGCAGAAGTGAAAAAGTCAATTGAAGGCCAAAAGAAATTATTTAAAAATGGTATTCCAGAATGTGGAATAGATGCATTGCGATATACTTTATGTTCTAAAAATATTAAATCACATTTTATTAACTTTGATGTTAATGAATGCCATGTAAACAAACTATTTGGGAATAAAATCTGGCAAGCTACTAAATACACAAAAATATTAGTTAATCTATGTAGAGAAAACAAAATGTTTGAAAATATAATATTTGATAAAAGTAACTTAACATGTATGGATTTATGGATTCTGAGCAAATTATCACAAATGATTACTAAAGTGAACACAAGTTTAGAAAATTATGATTTTCATTATGCCACTGCTGCTCTGAAACAGTTTTTGTACTCAGAACTTTGCGATGTTTATATAGTAAGTATTGCGTTCATTATCAACTATTATATATAAACTATATAAAAAGTTTTTATGATTCCTAACTTTGTTTAATTACAGGAATCAACAAAGCCATTTGCTAGAGACTTCAGTTTGAGCACTGTTTATAGCTGCCATACTCTTATATTAAGTTTAAATTTTGCTTTAAAGCATTTATCAATTTTTATGCCACATATTAGTGAAAAACTATTAGAAGCATTACCAGAGATAAATAATATTCACAGAATCGATTTGGGAACATTTTTTCCAAATAATGAGGTAAGAAATATTATATACCCTTGTATAAAATAATTTTTATAAATTCTTATATTTAATAGGTAAAGGAGTATAGTGACAATTTACTAGAATCAAATGTTCAGCTAATTTTAGATATTGTTTCAACAATCAGAAGAATTTGTCTTCTTCACAATATTTCCAAGAAACAGGATAAAAGAGGTGAATTTTTTAGTGTCTTTATAAACTCAAATCATTGGTATATGGGCTTGTATTTAAAATGTATCAACATACCAGAAATTCTATTGCTTTGTAATTTGAATTCATTTTTCCTCTATTTTCAGTTGTTCTGGAGATGAAACTAGAAAGTCCTGAATATCAATTTATTCATCCACAATTAAATGTTATACAAACATTATCAGGATGCAAAAATACAGAAATATCTAATCGAACTCCTGAAAATTCTCTTTTTGATACTGCAGGAGCATTTTGCTCTGTGCATGTCATTCCTAGTCAAATACCAGAAAGTACCAATCAATTAACAATAAATAAAAAACGCAAACTTATGAAGAAGATTACAAAATTGCAACAAGTAATTTCTAATGAAGGATATAGGGAAAAGGCTCCTAAGGATGTTCAGGATATGAACGATGATAAGGTATGATTTAAAATAAAGATGTATAAGAGATAATTTAAATGATCATTCCTTTTTTAATTACAGCTAAAAACTTTGTTAGTGGAATTACAAAAATTTGAAGCTATGGAACAAAATTGTTCTAATGTTAATTAAATAATATAATATTAATACAAATATTTTATATTACTGTTATATTTGTATTTTTATCCATCACTTTTAGAGTTATTCTTTTACATTTTATCTAGGTCTATGGCAAAAATCAAATTATATTTTTTGAGTTCTATAATTCCTTTTTACAAAGTAATATTTGATATTATTTTGTTTTTTTTATTAATTTCTTAATGTGCTTAATTTAATAATAACTTCTTGATAATATATTATCTTCATAATTGCTAAATTGCGTTATTTTAAGAAAATGAAAGATTAGCGAAAGCAGATATTTAAATCTTACAAACAATGAAATATTCATATTTCAATTTTGAAATGAAATCTTTTGAAATTTCTATTTATTTAATGTTATAATATAATGTTTAATTATATTTTTTATTTTTTTTGGAAGTATTATAGAATTGTGATTATAATTAAGGATAAGTAAATTTAAATTTTTAATGCATTTGAGTTCGAGCATTTACTAATATTTAATGATAATATTTTTATGTTATATTAATGTTTATTTGTATTCAAATTAACTTAATGAGCACGGTAAAGTCTATTTGCATAATGAAATTGTTAAAAAAAACACCTTTACTGATAATTTGTTTATTTAATAAGATCAAACAATACTCCAGATATACATGTATTATGGAACAATTTTATGAAATTTATAAAATAAAATTTTGCACAGCGTTAATATAAAACATGAAATACCTTCACATTAATCAGACAAAAATACATCAACCATCGATATTTTATTGAATTACAACAACTCCATTAATACATTTATGTGGTATTTAAATTTTTGGGCAGTTTCGCTTTATGATTTCATTGAGATACTTATATAAAGGTAAATTAATAAATACATAAATGATAATAAAATTCCACTTATTGCATATTGAATCAAATCAGGATGCAGGAAGACTTCTCTCTGAAAGGATTCACCTTTTGACTAGTAAATCCAACAAGCAAACAATCTTCTTGCTCATAGTCATTTATATATTTGACAATATCAGCAACTGCTTGAGACACCGGTATTCTTTTGACGCTGGCTTCCCTGCGGAGCTGTTCGGTAACAGCCCTCTGCTGCTGAAGGCTCGACACCATCATATCCATAGCGGCAGTCTCTGAGAGGCCTATGATGAATAACTTAATGCAGCTGGTTAAGAAGAATTTATTCCACTCCTAGGTGGTTTTATCGAATCTGATTTTCGATCCTTAAAGCGCAATTGATATCCAACTCTAACAAATTATCGCGTACAACCTTGTTCTGACGGATGGGTGAGTAATTTTGACAGTTAAAATGGAGGACGTCGTTTGCAGGGGTAATATACATGAATAAGCATCTTGAATGCAAGATGGTACGCGGTATGCATTTTTATACAGAGATAAATTCATAGATAAAAGAAGAGTATATTATGGAATATTTATCCTTTCAGTACTAAATAAATTTTATTAAATTACTACTTACCTAATCTTTAATCACAGAATAATTATTTTCATAGATTTACAAATTTTTATGTTTTTCCAAATATAAATAAAATTATTGAGTAAAAAAACACATTTCTGATAATTAACTTTCCGTAGAGTAAGTTATAGTAATTGCAATATTTTTTTTCCATATCTTTACGTTTGAAAGGTTTTTGAAAATTTTGGCATACTTACCTTTAAAAAAATTGATATATATGCGTGAGTTTATGTGTGTGTGTACGTATATTTGGATAGAATTTTTTGTCTACGATTTCAGACGCACTTATCAACCGATTTGAATGATTCAAATAAACATTTGATTCGATTTCTATTGAAGGAAAGACGTGCTGATTAGTTTTTTGGCGAAGGCAAGTCCAGTGGGTTCAGTCCCTAGACAATATAATAAGTCGTTTCAGTCGTTTCAGTCGTTCAGTCGTTTTAAAGATACGAGGCAAAAAGTGCCAAGAATGGTAATCCAGATTTTGTGGTAACAAAATACCCGATTTGATTAAATTTATGTGAAGGCAGATTTAGCGGTTTCGGAAATACAGAGAAAAACTAAAACAAAAAATATTTGGCGGTCAAAAATGATTATTACACATATGCACATCAAATTATCAGATATTTCATAGAGATTTTAAAAATGAGTACTAATTTTGTTACATTTTTTTTTTAGATTTCGTACCAAAATTTTTAATTTTTAGAGATCACTTATCAAAGAAAGTTCAAAATTGTTAATTTTTTTTTTTAATTTTTAAAAATCTACAAAATTTTATACTTTAAATATGAATTTTAAGTTTACAATTCAGTTTAAAATTGTAAAAATAAATTTCATATGCATTATTCTAAGAAATTTATCCTTATTGTAATAAAGATTCTTTCGGCAACTCTTATTAAGGTAAATATTCTTAAGAGGCACAACTAGTGTAACCGCCTAAAAACAGGTGATTTTTGGGAATTTAAATTAAAAAAAACTACTATATCAATCATTTCAAAATTTTAGTAATACATTTATACATGTTTTAAAAATACACAGTAAAATTTTTGAAGGAAAAAAATTAATATTTTTTAAGTTATCGTCGATCTCCAACGGCGCGACAAAAAAAGGCCCTTCACTGCTGGAGTGATTCCGGCTTTCTACGTGGATGAAATTAAAAAAAAAAATCTCGTTAAACTAGATAATATTGTCTGTAAAATGAACTACGATAAAGAAAAAAAATCAAAAATTGACAAAATAACGGCGTTTTTTAAAAAAAAGTCGAATTTTACCCAAAATTTTGGTCGTTTTTGGACTGCCAAAATTCGATTTTTGATCCGATCAAAAAATCGATAGTTCATTTTACGGAGAACTATAAATAGAACATGTAAAAATAAATTGATAGTGATCGGATCATTTGTTTTTGAGTAATTGCTGCAGCAAATTCGGAAAATGCTCTTTCGAGAAAAGCGCGTTTAAAGATTAAATGATCGTTATACTATTACTATATACATACTCTTTTAATGGCTGTAACTCAAAAACTATTTAAGATATGGATTTAAAATTTTAGTATGTTATTTTTAAAGGTATAACCTATCGAAATATGGAAAAATTGAAAATTCGATTTTTTGAAAATTTCACACTAGTTGTGCCCCTTAAGTGTTTTGTGCGATAAAATCGTCTCTGTATAATATATGATCGATTAGATATATAGTAACTACAAGTATCTATTTGAAAATATTTAGAACAATTGTTATTAATCATCGATCAGTATTTATTGGTTATTAATTTTTTTGCTTGAAAATTTAATTCTGGTACGGGAAGTTTCAGCAATTTGCCTTAAGGCACGATGCAATGCACCACTACTTAAATTTAAATATTGCTTTATCAAAAATTCTGTTGATGATAAGTATAATAAAATGCAGTTATGAGAGGAAATTATTAAAGGCAAGTTTAAGAGCTATATATATATATATATATATATATATATAATATATATATATATATATATATATATATATAGCCATATACACATATATATATATATATATATATATATATATATATATATATATATGGCTATATGGCTATATATATGGCTATATATATGGCTTAATGGTTGTACTTCCCTGGCACAATACATGTTTACTTAAAATTAATGCCAACATCACAGATGCAAATTTTACTATATTGGCTACATTGCTAACATGCCCTGCCCTTTAAAGAACGTCAAACTTCGCTGTTGTACAAGCCGGTTCGTGCCGGTAATAATTTCTGTCACAATCCCTTAATTTTTATCAGGGATATTAATATTTTATAATGTGATTTTAGGCAGTTCTATCAATAAAATAAGTTTTTATATATCATTAAGATTACGCTTCAATTAACTTTTACAATGGCATCTAAAGATTTAGTGAAACAAGTTTCTCCATGGTATTCAAGGTATAAAGCAAATTTTATTTATATTTAAATGGCGTTATTTATTAATTATTAACTAATAATTTTCTAGTGCTGAATGGAGGCATGTGTTTAGTTTAGTGTTCTCGTCTGAATATGTGAATCGATTGGAAGGTTTGAATTATATGAAAATGTGGAAAGTTAGAACACCGTATTTGTCTGGAGGAATACAAGGGACGATGGAAATTCTTGAAGCAGTTTTGTATGATGAGAATCCTGACAATGATAATCAAAGTAATAGAACAAAACAAACAGTATACTCTATGGCAATAATGCGGTTAGTATTTGCTATTGGTTAAGTTTTGGTATTTCACAAATTTTGTTAAATTTTTGCATCTATCTTATCTTTTGCCAATAAAAATAAATAGAACTAATAGACAATTTTAATGAGATCAAAGATCTATCAAAGTGAAAGGGGGGCATAATGTTTTTGGAAAACTTAAGGTGGGTTATGGCCCATAATTTAATGTAATCCTGTGCATTATTTTAATGTTCCAGCAATACCAGTGATTCACAACATTTTCCAAACATCTTAGGGCTTCCGAAAATGATATAATTCCCTATCCATACAAAATTTTGAATTTTAAAAAAATATTTTGTTCCTGAAGAAATATAAATATGTTTTAAGAAGAAATGACTATATAATTACTGTAAAATTATAAGTAAATTTTCAAAACAATCTTATTACTGATGCTTCCTGCACATTGCATTTTGTATTAAATTCTAACTTATTTAGCTTTAATCTCAAGCCTCCATGTTTGTTTTATCAAGTCTATTGTTTTTCATCAATAAATCATAGCAATTTCTTATACATTTGGTTACATTTGAGCTTTTGGTTTCAGTTTCTCTATATAGCCAGTGTTGAGTCAATTTTTAAACTGTACCCCAGAATTTACAAATTGTTTATGTTTGCACATTGGGAATCACTGACCTATACAGCAGTATAAAATATGTTTTGGTGGCACAATAATAAATTATTTCAGAATTACTCAAACTATAATGTATATATGAAAATACATATACTACAATGTATATAATAGTTTGTGCTTAGAATTTTGCTAATTTATATTCTTTTTTTTAAAGAAAAAAAATCATGACTGATGATTTAAATTTGAAATTAATAACAAATTTCATTTATTTCAGGTGGCTCAACTTAATAACTGACTCAACAAAGTATAATACATTGTATCATACTGCTCAAAATTTACAAATTCCACATTGGATTATTAATATACGCCATGCAGTCGCTCATAGTACAGAATTAACACCTATAGCTTTGCTTAGAGAGGCCTCACAATATGCATTAAAATGGCTTTATGAGATGTATTGGAAATTAGAAAATGAAGAAATAATTGATTATATTATTACAGACAGTATAAGTGAACCAGAAGAAAATAATTACAAACAATATTTGGAGAGATTCTTGTTGATTTATGATAATGTTGTGATATACATCGGTGAATACAGGTTTGAAATTAATAATAATAAATTTGAATTAATTCTGAATAATACTATCTTCATTATTTCCTATTTTCAAGCTTACTTATCTAATTAAAAATTATTGTCATATAATGAATATAAAGGCATTATTCAAAATTCATGTTTTTTAAAGAACATTGATTGAAAGTATATATATTTAAGAATATTTAATTTGAAATACAATATTTATAAATCAATATTGTGAATATTGCTCTGAACTGATTATATTATTTAGGCTTTCTGCAGAAAATTTGTTCCTAAATCTAATTTACTTTTAGGTTTAAACGAATCTGTGACATAAATATACATAAATTGAAAAAAGACTTGGTAACTGATGTTGATAATTTATTAATGAATCCTAATACATATGTATCCGAACGCTGTTTCTTGAAATCTTTATTATTCATTGTAATTAAGAGAATAAATCAAGTCATCAAGAAGTACAAAGAGAACAATAAATTCATTGATGTCTATGTGGATAGTCTATTAAACTGTAACAATTTCCTGAGTAGAAATATTTTGCCCAAGGAGAATGCCTATTATAAAGATTATGTGAAATTATGGATGCCACTTCTGGACCACTTACATGTTGCAAATGCTCTGCCGTGCTTGGTCAAGAAATTAATTGATGTGTCTTGTTCTGATAAGTCTGATAGAGGAATCTTTGCATATACATGGCTTGAATATGTTTTGAATGGCCTCGCAAAGTGTAAATCTGTACAAAAAATTACAGAGACGAATTATGTAAGTTAATTTCATTACAATCCACATAGATCATATTGTATTTAAAATATTATTTTAACTGGAAATAATTTATGAATAATATCAAGCTCTATTATAAATACAATTAGGGTACTATTTTAAATCACAAAGTACTTGTAATATTTTGGTAT